GCCTGCGGTCGTGGCTCACACCTTTGAGTATGCCAAGCTGCTCGCCTTTGCATCGGCTGGCGCAGTACTCGTCGACCTCATTCAATTCCTGCCCTTTGATCTCAGCATCATTCGCGGGGATCGCAAGCGTCGATGGCCTCAACTCGCATACTTTGGCGCCAAGCTGACATGGATTGTCTACATCATCCTCAACCTGACACTCCTCTTTACGCCAACGGAGATCAATTGCCAAGGCATGCTCATCGCCATCGAACTTTGCATGGGTTTGCTTGCCATTTCCTGCTCCACCTTGCTTGCTGCTCGCACAGTTTGCGTCTTCCAAGCTGGAGGTAATGCCCGTCGCTTGGTCGCCATCATCGTCAGCGTCTCTGTCGCGGGCATGGCTGCTGCCTGGTTTGAAGGAGTCGCTGACGTCAAAGCTGCTTGGCTCGCAGAAGCTGCTGCACCGTGGAGCACTGGAGCTTGCAGCTTCCTCTCGGTCAAAAGGACTTACATGGTCAAGTACCTCCTCACCGTCTATGTAGACATCCTAGTCTTTGTCCTGCTCCTCATCGGCACGTGCAAGATGGGCACGAGTCGCATTGGCGAAGTCCTCGTCTTCCAAGGCGCTTGCTACTTGTTGGTCACTATCCCCAACATCATCATCGCTGTCCTCACTTCCATGCAACTCTCTCCCGTGATCAGCTTGATCGGCGCTGTTCCAAGCAGCGCCATTAGCTTGATGGCGGCTACCCGCCTCTATGTCTATCTGGCCGAGGCTGCCGCCGTACAGCCTTCCGGTGTCAGCACCAGCCAAGTCAGCTCCACCATTGATAAGGTCGGAAACTTCCTCTTCCGTGGTCAGCGCAGCACGCTCTACGGCAACACTGCCGGCCTCTCTAGCTACGGCCCCAGCGGTGTCGCCAACGATGATCTGCCCGTTGTCGGCTCGGCATCTTCCGATGCGAGCGACAGCATCATGAAGCTTCCTTTGCGCAATCCCGCCTCTGAGAAGAGCATCAAGCGCAAAGCGGCCTCGACGAGCAGCGGCAGCGGCAGCGGCGCCACCACCGATCTGGAGTTGGGAAT